ACTGTAACGAATATTTTCTTTGAAGACTTATATATCGACTTATAACTATGATTTGAGTTAATCGATTAATGGATTAATTGATTAAGGATATATTGAATATATATATATATCTTCTATTCGTGATGAGATGATAGGTAACAGCTCGTAAAAGAGTGTGAACGGTATAATTAAGACCGTTTAGATAATACCCAAATAAAATAGTTTATTATAATTAATGTAAAACAGATAATACAGCAGCACTCGGCTGATAACAACTATACGTATGTATTGAACGCAGCAAAATACACAGAGTAAGTTTATATATGTACACACTAACTCTATGTGTACGTTCTTCGACTCAAACAAGCTAAACTACGACTAGAAGTCAACTCTACTTGAGTTCAACTCAACTCTAACTAGAACTGAACTAATCTGTCTTCTCTCCAACCAAGAGAGAGGAAAAACAGAGAAAAGGGAAGAAAGAGAAAGGAGAGAAATTCAACGAGAGAGAAATCAGAGGAAATAGAAGAGAGAGAAAGGAGAGAAAGAACAAGGAGATTAGTTGGATAGAAGAATACGGAAGGATTGCGTATATCTCAAGAGATATTACGGGATGTCACTTTGAGGGACGTCCATCATTTTACGGATGCTCAATTATATCAGAACGATGTGTTTCTGATCTTTGCCATATCGAAGGACGTTCTTTCAATGTTGCCAATTCGATTAGCCTATTATATCTACTCAATATGCTCCTTGACAGCATATCATAGAAAAGAACATTCATCGCTTGTTGTGCATTGGAGTATGCTGTCTTGTCAAAGGTATATGTTCCCTCTTCTTATATCATACAAAAGGACGTTCATCGCTTAGTGCGATCTCAATTTGTCTTCTCTTGTCTGAATAATGTGCCCCTTGGCACAACAATATCTCACGTTGTTGTTTCGTAAAGCATTAGCGATATGTTGTGCTCCTTCGCCTGCGATATTGTTGTTGCCAATGCTGAGTGTAGTGAGTGTCTGTGTAGAATAGAAAAGACAGAGATGATATAGATGAAGATAAAAGATATCTCACATTGTTATCTCGTAAAGTATTAGCGAGACATTTTGCTCCTTCGTCTCCGATTTGATTATTCTCAAAGATAAGTGTAGTGAGTGTCTGTAGTACATAAGCAAGAGAAATATGATATCGTTGAAGATATGGTATGTCTCACGCTATTGTGGCGTAAAGCATCAGCGAGATGTTGAGCGCCTTTGTATGTGACTTTGTTGTTTACGATATTGAGTGTAACGAGTGTCTGTTTGAAATAAGAAAGAGGAAAATATGTTGGATGAATATACAAGATGGTTGTCACTTTGTTAGTTTGCAATGCATCAGCAAGATATTGTACTCCTTCGTCTGCGATTTCGTTTTTTTCGAGGATAAGTGTAGTGAGTGTCTGTGGGAAATAGAAAGAGAAAGGTGAAATAGACGAACAAAGAAGATATTTTACTTTGTTATGCTGTAAAGCATTAGCGATATGTTGTGCTCCAATGTTTTCGATTTGATTGTTTCCAATGTTGAGTGTAGTGAGCATCTATGTAAAATAATAAAGAAAGCTGGTGACACGACATCTAGTGAGAATGAATTGTAATTAAGCAAGCTGAAGCAGATACCTGATAATAGGTCATCTCCCTGGCGATCCAACTGATTTAAATCTGCTAAAAACCAAAATTATCTCATATAAATCACCATAATTCATATAGTCTATTTGCATTCTTCTTAGTGCTCAATACAGCTCTATAAATTCAGTTTATTCGAAAGAAAAGTCCGCCCATTATACTATCAGGATCTCATCGACTGGCATGCGGTGCTATGATGTCCTCTTCTGATGACTGGATCTCGGTTGTACATTAAGTGATAATTCTGAAAATTTTACGAGAAATTTCTAAGTTAGCGAGAGCACATGGCTCATATTTTGAAATGAATTATTCATGGTTAAGCCGAGTTCTCAATAGCAGACTGAAGACTACGACTAACCACTGGATAGACGTTTTTAATACGAGGATCATATTTCTATTAACTCAAAGTGATGATACTGTTGAACTAATAATTTCAGTATACATCGACCGATCAACGTCAGGTTGATGCTTGCATTCAGACTTCATTGAGTTCGATTGATGATAAAATAGATTTTAATTGATAGCCATATTTACGGAGACTGTTGTAACTCTGGCGATTCATTTATTAGAGAATTATTTACTTTAAATCAAATTACACAAACTCATGAAAATCATGTAAACTCATTTTAAGTCACAAAGTTTTGACTCGAAATGTATCTGATAAAAAAGAAGAGGAAAAAATGGAAATGTTTCAAATTCAAGATATGGGTTTGGCATTAGAAGGAACAGTCTCGATTATTCGAATCTCAAAGTTGCTCTATTGTTGAAATCAACATAGTTAAATTCTAAGTCAAATACTTGCGAGCATACAAATATTTCTTTCTTTTCTAAGCCGATTTGTTAATCCACATAGGAAGAACAAGAAACAAGAAATGTGCTAAAGAATGGAAAATATTGCGAAAAAAGTCAAAGCAAATCATAAGAGATTGATTTTCACCGGTTTTAAATAAACAAGTGAAATGATCTTTTCTGTCTAAATGAAATAATAGGAGACAATTTGCTACTTGATGGAGCTTATCAGAGAAATGGAAAATAACACAATTCGTCTTACCCTCCAATAATGGAATCATACATCATGTTTCTTACCTTATTATTTCGTACTGCATGATAGGCCACAATCTCCATATCTTGATCAATCAACATATTTTGGCTCAAATCCAACTCTGAACTATTTTTTTTGTCAGCAATAATTTGTTCGAGTCTATGGTTTCGGTATTGAGGGGGCTGCCCTAAAAATCGATTAATTAATTAGAATTTTGACTGAATTTATCTCAGTTGAATGGTATGAAGCTAATTGTGCTAATTACGACAGCCGAAAACTTCCGCATGACAAGCGACTAAGAGAAAAAGTTTTACTTCGTCTAAATAAAAGGAATGCCGTGAAACGTTTTTCACAGAGACACAACGAAGGGCGAAGATGGTTCTTGTTCCACTCAAATCCGAAAAACGCTCAAATTTGAATATGTCGATGAACATGATACAAGTAGAATGTGGGCGAGGATGGAAATCTTTCATTTTTTCTACACCCATACCCACCCTCAAGATACTGCAATGTCAACCAATGTCAGTCAATAATGTTGACCACGATATGTCGGGAGAAAGGGGAGAAATCTAAATTTTTACTCCTATATACTTCAACATTTCTTTTAGTTTGTGTTTCACCAAAGTGAAATTTAACCCTTGCCGTACCGGCCGGGGTCATTTCTGACCCCAACCTGAAAAATATACAAATATGCTAAAAATATTGTTTTTTCTCAGCTTTTTTAAGCTATTAGCATCGCTTAAGAGTAGATCTATGTCGTTTCATCTAAAAGGGAATATACCCAATGGAATCAAAATATAAAATATAAACGTCGATTATTTCTCGAAGAATTAGGAATGGCTTTAGCGTCGCATCAGCTGGATTTTCGCTCAAAAAATTCAAAATTTCTGAATACAGATATTCAAAATGCATTAGCTATCGTCGGTTATCCTGTAATAAAGAGAAATATATCAATCATAAATGACAATTCTGCTCAAGCAAAACGAAAAAGATGTTCTTTTTGTGAACGCTCAAAGGACAAAAAAACATCAACTCAATGCAGTGTTTGTTCTGCGTTCGTTTGTGATGAACATTCTGTTAAACGTATTTTTTTGTAACACTTGCTGCAAATAAATACTGTCATTCTAGTAATTTTTTTTATTGCATCGAACATGAAAATAGCATATTTCTTCAGGGGAGTATCCCAAAGTACAAAAAAATATTTTATGAAAATATATATTGTCAATATAGTACTTAAAACAGGCCGGTACGGCAAGGGTTAAGGATTAATGCAACTTACGGGGAATAGGTAAGAATGCTATACACCAATCATCATTCTGTTTGAGACTAGAATAGAAATAAAGTGTTCTGGGTCAAACAACTCTTTTTTTAGAGATGGCTTACCAAGCAATGAATTCTTCTTTTGTTATCTTTTTATCATCTAATCTTCCACAAAAGTCTATCATCTTTGCAACAATAGACTTTGTAGTATTCGGGTCAATATCTTTCAATTCGGTCACAGCTTCTACATATTGGATCAAATCTTCATCACAAGCCTCTTCTAGACTATCATGTGAACACATGGCAAATACCTTTCAGAAAAATCAATTGAAAAATATTAAGATTCAATGAATAAAAAAAGTGTATATATGTACAAATATAAGTTGATTTTCTATATCGCCTGACATCGTCAGAGAAATCGCTGACATAAATTCGGCAAAGCTCATAATTCCGCTCTGATTTTTGTTGAACACCTTGAATGCATAATGACAGTAGCGTCGCACGTTACCACTGAATATATATATATATATATGTTTACATAGTTATAAGGGGAAAATTTTCTAAAACGACTTACTCCGGATGAATTTTTTGAAATTCTGCAGTAAATTTGTCTTGATTCAATTCGCCATTAGGACTAAAAGTGTCATGTGACAAACGACATTACAAAGATACCAAAATCTTATGTGTTCTTACTGTGCATCGATAAATTTTTTATGCCATGTTTCAACATCTTTATTTGTCAACGTTGTAAATTTGTTTTCCGTTCTAATTGCTCGAATTTGTTCGGGAGACAATGTTGCTATAAGGAAAAATACATAATAGTGTATGATATTTATTTATTTCTGATATGAAATTTTATCATGAATTTAAATGAATTATTTTTTAGGGTAGGTGTGGGTGTGAGTGTGAGAGAACGATATACTTGATGCCCACACCCACTCTCAAGGTGAGTGAAGTTTTTTGGAGCTCAGGGTTATGGTTTTACCAATTGTTCACTTGCAATGGGCGGTCGAGAACTGTTGAGCAGTAAGGCTGACCTTGTTCGGGTGAAATGGTCACTCTTATCGAGAAACTAACGTATTTAAAATATGAGCTGCTGATGGCGTACCTAAGCAGAGATATTCAATTTTTAAGTTATGCACAATTTGGTATTGGGTCAAAGGTTAAAGGTCAAAGGTCAAAGGTCAAATAATAGTAACAAAGATCAGTGGCTGATGAATGGCTCAAGTTTCCACTATACAACTCTTCATACAACAATCCAATGAATGAATCCTCCGCTCTCTGAATACCAAAGAGTGAGAAACTTGAACCATTCATCAGCCACTGATCTTTATTGCTATTATTTGACCTTTGATCTTTAACCGTTGACTCAATACCGAATTGTGCATAACTTAAAAATTGAACATCCCTGCTTAGGTACGCCATCAGCAGCTCATATTTTAAATACATTAGTTTCTCGATAACAGTGATCATTTCAGCCGAACCAGGTCAACCTTACTGTTCAACAGTTCCCGACCTTCCATTGTTAGTAGAAAAGATTTCGCTCGAATCTACGACAGTGAAATGATGACACAAGTGTAAGAGAGCGAATAAATTATAGATCTCTACCAACAAAATATCTAATTCAGTCAGCATCAACAGTGGTTTTTTCTCTCTATTTCCTATTAAAGCGATAGAGAAGCATCAACTATACATCCGTGTGAACCCGCATGGATGTTCTTCAAAATATGCATAAACTTACTACATAAAGTATGATAATAATCCTCAGATTTGATTGTTCCTTGATTTCCATGATAAATAACGCATGTATTGGGTTTTTTATCCAAATGAGTATGTAAATCATGATCAATAACCAGAAAAACCGGTTTCTTTGATTCCGATATTGTTTCAACAGATTTTTGTAAACTGTAAAAAAATCTTAGTTGCTTGTACCAATTTGCTTGATCTTGTTTTTCCCAATCATTTGAAATATGAAATAAATAAACATCTTTATGATAATTATTCAAAAAAAATTCATGAATAGATTTAAATTCTTTTGGCAGAAGATCTGGATTTGGTCCTTTTGGCTGATTTTTTTCTTTTGGTCTTCGATCAAATTGACTTAATGATGCAATTTTGGCATCAATTCGTGCATTGTCTTTCAAAAATCGTTTAATACACATTAAAGAACATGGATTTTGATCATTGAAGTTATCCAATAATTGTATCATTTCATTTTCATCAGCTTGACCACCACGAATTTGTTCAAGCAATGTTGCTAATTGGCGTTGTGTTCGTAATTCTTCACCTACAAGTGCTGATTGTTTGTCATGAATAACTTCTACCCAATCTGGTGGAATCCAACCTTTCCATGGTTCAATTTTGGCAAGAAAATCATTCATCATTCTTTTCCCTTGAATTATTTGTTCAAAAATATTTTCAATACGATTGATGATATGATTCGTAACTTCTTTCATTATTCTAAAGAAAAACGAAAGTATGTATATATGTTTCACTCTATATTACAAACCGTTCAATGCGCAAATCATGTTTGAAAATTTCTGCCATTCGCTTCAAGGGATATAATTCAAATTCAAGTTGTTGTCCTTTTCCATCATTGAGTTGTTTGAGCATATTTGGTACCTTCTTAAAGATGTTGAACACATCTTCAACTGTATTTGGAACATCTTCAATTAAAACATCACCGGAAAAACTAATTTTTAGTGAATGAAATTTTGAATTTGTTCTATCAATATTATCTATTTTGGCTTGACCGGTAATATTAATTGCTACTTGTTTTAATGAAGCTGCTAATTGACCTTGAAGTTCTTCGGCTGCCTCTGATGTAGCTACGTTTTCTTCGAATGTTGCTGCTATATGTGCTCCCCATGTAATACCAACAACGCAATGCGTTGCATTCGGATTTTCTAATGCATCTGGTGAGAAATATTTATATAATTCAGCTCGACTAACTTGTAAACGTTGTTGTTTTGTTCGCACATTGAACATGAATGTAACTCGAACTGTTCGACTGTTAGTTTTTGTTTGATTTAAATATTTTGCAGAACCTTCAACCTTTATTAGACCAGCCATAAGACTTAATTTCATCGATGCTTCAACATTAAGTTTGTTAAATGTATCCTTTTGTGAAATATTCTCATCCACAAAATAATCTGAATTGGCACAATCTGTTGTTGAAACTAATCCTTCTGGTAGATCTTGATTGAATAAATTTCCACCTTCAAATCGATCGGTACGGATATCATACAGACTACCAATATCTCCATGACGACCAACAGCTTGTTTTGTGATTGCTGCACTAGATGTACTCATTTTCAGTTGCTAACCGATAAGTAACAATAAACAGTATCTTTTTCTAAATCATACAAAACTGATTTGTGAAACGCGATCTGAAAGGAGTGTTGAAGTGTTTAGGGGTAGAAATTTGGCCCCCCCCCCCCCCTCCCCCCTCACAGACCGTGACAGACACTCACGTGACCCATCACAGACCATTACAGACAGGCTTCGGGGGGCATCACAGACCATGATAGACATATTAATTAATTAATTAATTAGTGTTTAATTAACTAATTAACCGTCACAGGCCGTGACAGACAGGGCCGGGACCCATCACAGACCGTAACAGACAGGCCTGGAGCTCATCACAGACCGTGACAGAAATCTTAATTAATTAATTAACCCTTTCAGGACGGTGGTACAAGGGTTGTACCACCTAGTTTTCCGTTGGGAAAAATATTTCATTTACACTTAAGTATTAAAACTTATTATACATAGAGGTCATGGAGTGCTCTAACTAGCATGTTATACATATCTTTTCGTGATGCTCTATGTATTCTTATCAGACATTCGTTTTTCGTTCTGTGACCGTACAATGACGTCATAGTTTCCCTTTCTTACTCTGACCTGTGCTTTTACGAGAATGTTCGAGAAGATTCTCACTCTCTATTACTCTCCCTAGGCAAACTTTCTTTTTTCATGCTCTTGACCTGCGCAGTTCTCAAGTTTTGTCCATAGCGCATGACTTTCTTGCTCAAGACAATCGCTTGAGTATTGCATGAAAATACATCTATGCATTTTTATTAAAAGTTGAGTTGTTTTGAACGTAAAATTGCAAAAAAACTATACAAAATTCTCGAATAACAGAAACACTTGCATAAGAATTCAAGCGCATGTGCAAGAATATCAAGCGCATGAGCAAGAATATCAAGCAATAGAGCAAGAAGTTCAAGAACTTGAGCTCGCCAAAAGGTCTCAAGTCTTGCCTCAAGTTTTGTCCATAGCGCATGACTTTCTTGCTCAAGATTCTCAAGTACTTCCTGCGCAGACCAAAACAAGTTCGTCTAGGGCTTGTATATATATAGCTGTTCTTTGAAAGGAAGGTAAATTACTTCTATATTTCTTTTATCTATTCTATTTGTAATTGGAATTTCACTGATGGAATCCTTAGAAAACGATGGAGTCGACGACGACTCACGTGATTCACTTACCAGTGAAGACAGCGACGAGAGTGACTTCGATTTCGACTATGATGAATTAGCAGATGATTTAGATAAACTTCAGATATCAAATGCATATTCGAATGAAGATGAAATGGAGATTGATTCTATGAGCGAAAGTTTTATTGGTGATGGTGGCTTTACGTCAATTTCTCTCAGGGATGTAACGCCAATTGCACTGTTCAGGAGGTTTTTCACGGAAGAAATTCTGAACCTAATTAGTGATCAAACAAACATTTATGGAAAACAGAAACAACGAAGGAATAGTCAAAACAAATCTGATCGCTAGAAGGATGTGGGGATAAAAGATATTGAATCGTTTCTTGGAATAATTATTGTGATGGTAATCAATGACTTACCGGAAATGAAACTCTATTGGAGTAAGGACAATGTTTTTCATAATAGTTTCATCTCTGCGGGTGTGGGTGTGGGTGTGGGTGTGGGTGTG